GAACTGTGTGTGCTCAGGTCTGGTCCTTAATGAAGGGACCCACCAAAGGCAGCACATGGGGTGGCATTAGACAGCGTTGACGCCTTAGCCTGTCGTCTGCTCCAGCCCAATGCTGCCCGTGCAGCGTGCACCAGCACCAGCACTGGCACCGGCACCAGCACAGGGCAGATGGTGCCCGGTGCTTAGCGGGAAACCGCAACTATTTCTGCAGCACCCTGCTATACTGCGGGATAAAACTGGCCTTGCCCATCGGTGTGGCACCGAGGAGCAGCACCCAGCTGGGTTTTCCCTCTCCCAGCAGGTCCCACCGAGGCGCAGGGAGCACGGATGCCCCCCACCCTGTTTGCAGAGGTCAGCCTGAGAGCAGGGGCAGACCCCCTGTGCCAGCAGCCCTGCAAGCTGCACGTGCCCGTGGGAGGGCTTGGGAGCCGTGCAGCGCTGACCTCGTGTCTTCAGCTTCCTCTTCCTCCTCCTTTCATGCTCCAGGTCAGCTCCGGCTCTGTTCCCTGTTGAAGGGGGGATGGGAAAGGCGTCCCCAGCCCTGGGCACTGCAGCCCTGCCTCTGCTCCCCAGCCCCAGTGCACTAACCCTCCTCTGCAGCGGTGCCGGCACGCGGTGTTCGGGATGGCTCAGTCTGCTCTAACAGGAATGTGAATTCAGGGCGTTTTCCAGGGGAGAGGGAGAGGCCCCAAAGGGCTGCAGGCTGCTTCACCTTCACTCCCTCTCCAAAGCAGCCCGGCCGAGATGGCGGCACACTGCTGCGGGTGGGAAACCGCCTGGCAGGAGCCTGGCTGCCAGCACGCCCGTCCCCAGCCGCTCGGCTCCCTGCTCTGGGGCTCACTTCAGCAGAGGACGTTTAGCAAATCTTGGTCTCGGTCACACTCACTGTTTTTAGAACTCCCAGGCGGGTCACTTGCAGCTCACCTCTGAGCGGACAGTCCCATTTCTGTAGCCTGCGCTTGCTGAGAGCTGCCCCCCCCACCAGCCCAGCGCCATGGAAAACCACCTTTCACAAGGGCACATGTCCTGCGACGGGCGCTGAGCTCGCCCGAATGGTCCCACCCTGAGCTGGGTGCTGAGACTCGCCGGTGCAGGATGCATCCCCTCGAGCAGGGCGGCGGCAGCGGCTCCGGGCCCCGCGGGGGG